GTGTGGCTCTGGACAAGTCACTTCCCTGCTCCGTGCCTCAGTTTCACCATCTGTGATCGCAGTGCTCACCTCCTTTGCAGGATGAAGCTTAACGCATTCCTGGCTAGAAAGGGTGTCGAGCACCTAAGATGCAGGGGCAAAGGGCTATTCCCCCAATCCAGCTGTGCAGCTTTGTTGCCGTTCTTCTAACTGCAATGTACTCTGCATTTTGGCAGTGAGATGACTGGGAGAGATACTGCCCTTTTTCTGGACATCCCAGCCATTCAGCTCACTACATTGCCTGTAAGGGTAAACCCACAGACAGTGGCTCCTAGAGAGTTTCCAGGGCTGCTAGAGAATCAGGAAGTGTTGGCAGGAATTCAGGAGAGCCAATGAAAACAGAATGTGGATTTTTGAATGGGAAGCAGTGACTTTGCAGCAGTCTTTGTGTGACCAGAGTAAAGCTGGAAGACATGGACAGGAACAAGGCTGGAAATATTCAGTGATGCCCATGCCTAGGGAAGGACTAAACCTTAGAACAACAGATATGTGAATAGAACAGGGAATGTTTAGTAGGATGTGATCAGGTTATTTTCTTAGTGTGGGGGGTTTGTTGGACTTCTCTGTACTGAACCCATGTGACTTGTCCCACCCCCGTACACTGCAACTTTTAAACTGAATCCTGGGGAAGCAATTCCCTGTGTTTTCAATCTTTCTTTTTTCAGTTGCTCTGTAACACATAGCAACCAAGTATGTTTTGCCAAGTGTCTTTGTTTTGTTAATACAAATCACCTTTTTTAAGACTATGCTTTGATTCCTGTGTCCTAAAAGGTAGGAGATTCCATGTGCACATGCCTAAAACTGCAAGGACAGCTATTAAGAAATTGAAGGTTGGTTTGGTTTTTTTAAGCGCTCTCCAGAGGAAGGATTAAAGAAGTTGGGGCTACCTGTCATGTGCTTCAATTTATTTTAGATCCAAGGCAAACCAGGACACTCCAGAATAGTAATAGAGATGTAGCTGTGTTAGTCTGTATCTCATAGACACTAACCTCCCCCCCTCATCCCCCGTATGTTCTAAAATCTGATTTGTCAATTTTATACGTGTTCACTTTTTTTGATTGCATCCCTTTGGTATACAGGCAGTCCCCGGGTTACATGGATCCGACTTACATCGGATCCCTACTTACAAACAGGGTGAGGCAACCCCGCACTAGCTGCTTCCCCCCAGCAGACCAGGGAGACGCGGAGCGGCTTTTCTCAGCAGACACCTCAGCTTGAGAATAAAGGACTGAGGGAAGTGAGGTGTGGGAGAATAAAACTGAGCTCTGGAGAAATGTTTGGCTAGAGTTTCCCCTACAATATGTACCAGTTCCGACTTACATACAAATTCAACTTAAGAACAAACCTACAGTCCCTATCTTGTACGTAACCCAGGGACTGCCTGTACAGTGAAGAAATTGCTTGTGTTAATGAACTTAATCAGGTAAGGGTGGAATTGGATCATTCACAGCATTTGGTGTGGAGACGTGAAATTGCCTTACTAATGTGTGTTAACCAAAGATTATAATTGTGTAAAATGAGCATTAACTCCAGAGAGACTTAGCCACTTTCTTATTTATTGCAAGCTTTAAGCAGTTAATGTGGTTGTTTAAGTTTTGCAAGCCTTAAAAATAATTACTATACAATTTAAACCTTCAATACTATAAATTCTAAAGCAATTAATCCAGCGCAAAGCAATGCAAAAGCAATTAATAGAAGATCTACTATAATACAATAATAAAGAGCCACCTACAGTACTAAACAGGAAGTCATGGTCCCTTTGATTCCCACCCATCAGGACACCATGCACTGGGCTGCCAGTGTAAAAGGTCTATCTACTTCTAGTTACAGCAAGCAGGACCTGGGGGGGTCAGTCCTGCTCACTCCCTCCCATCACTTCTTACTACTTTGTCTGTTTTATAGCAAAGCACGACTTGGACATGCTAATAATATTTACCAGTTGATTACATATTGTGTAAGATACCTAAAATGCCCAATGCCCTTATTCAGGATACATCCTGCTATTAGGGTGTTGCAAAAATGATGTGCGTGGTTAAGTTTTATGGCTGTTTCGGTAATTACTGCTTATCAGAAATAGAAGTACCAGTGCAAGGTTGCTTGTTGTGTGTTCTTGACATCATTTGCTGTACCACTGAATCTGCATGATTATGCCAAACGCTCCTGCCTCTCGAAGCTTTCCCTGAGCCTGGCCTGCATGCTTACGTGCACCAGACTTGAGACAGGCCTGGATTTTGCTTGTTAGAGATCCGCACTGTGGTCAAGGTAGACATTATTTATTGTCAAGGCAGGGCCGACTAGGCTCCCCTGTACTCCCCCCACAAGAAGAAATTCCGAAGTGTGTCTTCCTGGGTGCTCAAAGAGGTTTTTGCATTTGGGTGGTGGCAGCGTGCCATCCAAGGTCAGGGAATCGGGGACAATGGGGAGTTTTTGAAACAGAAGCCTTTCATGGCAAAGTATTTTAAAGTCTTTTGCAGGCCCCCACCTTCTGCACACGAAGTGCCAGAGTGAGGAACAACCTTGACAGGCAGCACTTGCCATCAGAGCCTCTCGCAAGGATGCCGAGGCTTGTTCTACACTTGAACACCCCACACCCGTGAGCGCCGGAGCTGTGCCAACCTAACCCTTGAGTTGACGGTCGGTAGGTCTGCTGCCGGTGCTTCAAGAAGAGTCCCTATGGATGTGCCACATATCTCGAAGCGCTACTGTTCCTGAGCAAGGTAGGTTGACCTAGCAACTGTTGCTCAGGGAGACAGGAAAACCCACTTCCAGGGCTGGAGTGTGCATCCAAGCTACAGCATTACAGCAGCCTGGCTACAGAGCTGTAACTATGCTGCTGTAGGGCCGCTTGGCATAGCGTCACGCATTGCTCTATTAACCCTTATGTCCCTCCCCCATAGCACCTGGGGGAGAGGGGAATGAGGCTCCGCACTGAGACAGGTGAAGGAGAGTCAAGTGCCCTGGCTCCACCCCCTGCTTTTGTGAGAGGAGCCAAATCCCCCAGTATGGCCAGAGATTAGGACACAAGTCCAGCCTCATAACAGGCCTCCCCTCCGGCCTCACAGCAGCCCATCCAGAACGGGAACCAGGCCCCCAGAGGGGGACGTGTACTCCTGGCAACGTGCCCTCCCCCACTAACACCCCATGTCTTGCTTGTGGCCTATCACAGTGCTGGAATATGCTCCCAGGCCTGTGTCCTGACCATGACCCCCTCTTCCCTTCCAAGAGCCTTAAATTCAAGTGGAAACCTTTCCTGCTCTAGGAAAGGCCTTTCCTCTAGGAACCTCAGCTCTGCTAAGTAAACAGAGCCTGCGGGATGCCCTAGAAGGGGATTTATATCTGCCCTGCTATTTCTCATGTCCCTGCAGCTCCCAGACGTAACTCAGCAACGCAAGCAGGGAGCTGGTGGTTTATGACTTTTTCCTCCGGGCAGCCAGCTCCAAGGGCACCAGGTTCCCTGGTGTGACGCATCCCGGAGCCCCTGGCCCCAGAGAGACGGAGTCTCCAAGTCCCTTGATGGGAAATGACGACAGGCAGGCCTGGCTTCTGACCCTGCTGAGACCTGCAAAGCCCAGATGAGAACGAGCAGTTGCCTTCCAGGAGCATGCGGGGACATGGAACGGAACCAGCGTGACCAGGGAAAATCCCCTGGGTCCACTTTCACTGGGAGGGGGGTGATAGGCTGAGCAAAGGCCTGGGGGCAGAAACAAGCTGCCAAGTCAGAACAAAATGCACCCCAAAAGCATCCAAACACTCTGGCTCTGAGTGGGCTACAAGGCCGGAGGCACAGATCTGGGACTGAGGGAACGGCACATCATTGTCCGTTTTCCAGATTTTGGACTGCAGCCCCCTCCCACTATAACTTACAGCAACCTGTTCCAGGCAGCCTTTGGACTGTGCAATAGCCCCTGAATCCTGGGGGCCCACCCTGTATGTCTCACCCCTGCACTGGGGCTTGTGAGAGGGGCAGGCATCCGAGGACAGCTTGTAATGAGCCTATGCTGTGCAGGTACCCAAGGGGAACTTGCATTCATGATGGCCTATAGCGACTGGAGCCAGGCACAGAATCTGCCCCAACTGCGGTCTTCAATAGTCACTTCTGCTGCTAGCATAGGACCTAGGGTGCTCTGTGCTTCCCTAGAGTCTGACCCAAACTCCTGGCTCTAAGCCCCAGATGTGAATTCACAGCTTCCCCCCTGTCACTGAGACTGGTCAGAACTTAATGCCTCATCCAAAGCCCTGAACCTTGGATCTGGATTTTGGATCCTGATATTAGGGCCAATTTGATTTTTGGAGCTGCATGACCAGCCCTGATGCTCTAAGGGGGAGTTTTCATCTGCGAGTTTGGATTGGCCACTTATGGAGGCAGGAAGCTTGGATCCAGTCCTAGAGGCATCTAACGCCAGTATTAAAGGGGGGAGGAATCCGGAGTCGTCTTCTCAGCCATTCTTTAAGTCTTTCTTTTCCTCGGGCCCTGCTGGCAGTGTGCCACAGCTGCGTTCAAAACTACGCTGTTTGAGCGATGAATGCCTGGGTTTGTTTTTTTTAGCTGGTTATGTCATGGCATGGGCCGTTATGTAACCAGGCTCCCCAAGAGAACATTTGTATTGCCTGCCGAGTCATTTCCCACTGTGGTCCCTGAGCCAGAGAGCTCCGAGGGCCCGATCCAGCACCTCTTGAAGACGCCTGCTGAGTTCAGTACACATTGGGCCACTGGCTGGTTCGCTGATGTGCGGGACTGGGCATTTTCTACGTGCACTGGGGGAAGAAGAAGAAATCAGCCTAGCTCTAGTTCTGCCAGTTTCAGTGATTTAGTTGGGGTTGGTCCTGCTTCAGGGAGGGGTTGATTTAGTTCAGTGCCAGTGGTTCCCAAATTTTATGGCATCACGCCCTCTTTTTGATTTTTGAGAAACCCTCTCCCTCCCCCCAAAAAGGAGAAAAACTTGTTGAGCAAAAAAAAAAAAAAAGAGGGGAGGGACTGACCGGGGCAGCAAAACTTGATGGGGGGCCGAGTCACCTCATGTCCCTGGAATTTCTTCATGCCCCCCAGTTTGGGAACCCATGGTTTAGTCCCTTCCTGCTTTGGACTCGATGACCGGCTGAGGTTTCTTCCAACCCTATGATTCTATGAATGAGTTGAGCAGCAATGTACCTTCTGCTAAGAATTCTACTGATTCCCACACCTATTCTGCCTGGAGTAGCGTGTGTTCTAGTTGTAGATGGAGTCGCTCATTGCATGTGTGCTTTGCCGGCAGAGTGAGCAGACATCTCAATACTAGGGGCTTATACTCCCCACCCCTGGAAAAAAAATGTCCTGGTGTTTCACGCTTGCTACCGGGTGACCCTTTTAGCTGGTTGCCTGCAACTGTCCCATAGGTGCAACTTGAAAAAGAAGCAAGTTTGGGCTTTGTAAATATTGGATGGATGCTCTTCCCCCACCCCCTTTCCTAAGTGCACAGAGAGCTCAAATTTGCCTTGAGCCTCACCTGATCACTGGTGTGAAGTGGGGACACAACACAACCCTTCTGATTTGGTGGGATTCACCATTCACTTGGCGTTGGTGCAAATGAGCATGCAAAGTGGAGATGGGTCCAGTGACAAGGCCTGGACCTTCGGCGGGGGTAAAGGAAGCCATGGAGCAGTGACAGTGTTCATCAGCTGAAAGGCTGCTCCCAGGTCTCCTCTGGCTTTCACTTTTTGATTTACCTGAGCTAAGTGTTCTGGTCTGGGAGCAGCTGTGCGTGGGGTTCCGCAACGGACAAGGCAGCAGTGAATCAGGGGACACGTTTTGGCGAGCCCCAGACAGTGACAATTGCTTTCAGCAGGGTCCCTGATTTTGATCGTGGGAAAGGACACCTTGCTTTGATGCCTGGCCCGGTAGCTAACGGGGGGACTCTGCTGCTAATTGGCAGACCTGGGACTGAGCCTCACTCCCTGGGCTACTAGGAAATCGCACCAACGCCACAACCTTTCCTTTGAACCAGCGCTTCCCACCCTGTGTAATTTACTATATTGCCACACACAGCTAGAGCTCTTCCGTCATCTGACCTGTGTGCCAGCCCTGCGGTGCCCTTTCACCTGGGGGAGGGGAGCGAAACAGCTGGCTTTGGGAAATTCCCTGCTCACCAGCGCTGCGTCCAAGGCAGCCTGTGGGAAAATAAATATAGTCAATTAAAGAAACCCAACCCCTGTGCCTGTCCTTTAAGGCCCATCTTAAATCTCTTGGGCTCCATTCAAGACCAGACCAGTGGCTTTGTGGGGCTGGGTGATGGCACCAGCAAGCGGGGAGAATGGGGGACTTGATTTCTCCCTTCCAAAACAGAGATGAAGTGTCAGACTGGCCACCGTGCTCACTTGGTGGTGTGAAATCAGGCACAGAAGGATTTTCAGAGCTGCTAGCACACACGGCTCTCGTTTCTTTCAGTGGGACATCAGACTACTTATATTGATGTCTCAGGCTATATCCACGCTGCAAGGTCTTTATGCAAAAACCTGTGGAGCGTCCACACCTCAAATGTGCTTTTGTGCAAGTAAATCAACAATCAACAGCAGAACAGAGGGCTTTTTCCAGCGTAGGTAAACCTTCTTTTATGAGGCATAACTCCTTTTTGCGTTACAGCTATTGTGCAAAAAGGCAAGTGTGGACGCTCCGCAGGGGTTTTTGCACAAGAAAACCCTAAAGGAAAAAGCACAGTTGCTCTGATGGCCATTCGCAGAATGGCCATCAGAGCTTTCTTGTGCAAGAGCGTCCATGCAGTGTGGACGCTCTCTTGTGCAAAAGCACATCGCTTTTGCGATGCGCTTTGAGTGTGGACATGCTCTTGTGCAAGACATTTTTGCACAAAAACTCTTGTGCAAGAAGCATATAGCATAGATGTAGCCTCAGTATGGATTTAGGGGATGCATCCACATCAGTATTTCCCTTTCCCTAAATGATTTGTGTGTAACAACCAGACGGGTCAGTTCCCTGAGAAGTCCTTTGACGTCAGTGGAGCTGAGCTGCTTTACAGCAGCTGAAGATCCTGCTAGTGGCTTTGAGGGAGGTAGTTAGTGGTTAAAGCTAGTGCAGGGCCGGGTGTCTTGGGTTCTATTCCAGCTGTGCAACTTTTGGGTGAAACCCTCCACCCATCTGCACCTCTGGGGAGGAGAAATTTCACCCACTTTTGCAAAAATCCCAACAGTTCCTAGAATGAACATCATTACGATAGGCTCAGCTGGGGTAAATTCACCCTCACTCTATAGACTTCTGTAGAACTGGCTTGATTTACACCCACAGGTGGTGCGGCCCATGTGCCAGAAATGCCAGCTATTATTAATGCCAACTCCGGTCATCTGAAGAAGTGTGTTGTGCCTACGAAAGCTCATGATCCCATCGACATAGCTTGTTAGTTGATAACGTGCTACCAGACCATTTGTTGTTTTTTTACGTTTATCCTGTACAGACTAACTTGGCTCCCCCCTGAAGCTGCTATTAAATCCTTTGAGATCAGTTTGGAAATGCTAATCAATGAAAAGAGCCCAGCTGAGCTACATGGCGAGATTTAAAAAAAAATCCTTTTATGCAGTGCTGTTGCCCTTGTAGACCTGACGCGACTTGATCTGCCGTATAGGGACGTACACCGCACCATGTGTGTCTGTGCACCCCACCCAAGCTGCCCTTTGCCAGGAAATGAGGTCAAGCCCAGCTCCAAAATCTGTGGACCTACCGGGTGTTCCCATTGGCAGGGTTTGTGATCCCCCCTGTCGTCGTCCAATCCGCATGGAGCAGAAATGTAAACAGACGCAGAAGGGTTGGCTATAAAGGCACCCTGTGCTGTCCCTCTCCTCTGATGCAAGCAGGAATCCAAAGGGGAGCAGGAGAGATCCATGCAGACAGAGCAAACTAGAAGGATGGAGCGGTATTTGATCTTTGCGATGACGACTTGGAGTGCAGGGTTCCTCTGCTCTTCCACGGATGCTTTCCAAAGGTATGTAACCAAAGGCCTAAGGCAGGGGTGGGGAACCTGTGGCCCCCGGCTTGCCTGGGTGCAGCCCCTGCAATTCAGGGCATCCCGCCTCCAGCGTCAGGGAGCTGGTGTTGGTCCTCTAGCCCTGCGGCCTGCCCAGACCCTCCCTCCCATAACTACTTTGCTCCTGAAGTCGACCTCCCAGGCAGACCCCTCAGCCCGCTTCTGCACCCATCTTCCCGCTCATGCCCTGTACCCCCACTCCTCTCCAGCACCCTACCACCTCCCCAGACCCACCAACCCCCAACCCACTCCTGCACCCTCCCTCCCACTCAGACTCCACACCCCTAGCCTGAGTCCTGGCAGCCTCCTCCCACACACTGAACTCCTCGTTTTTGGCCCCGCCCCACACAGTCTACTAGCCTGAGCCCCCCTAGGCTCTGGTGTGCGAGGGGAGTGAGGGGAGAATCTTTCTGCGTCTCAGTTGGGGGCCATGTCGGTGAGGTGCACGGGTGGTTTTTTTATTTATTTCTCACCTTTGTGTGGCCCCCGATTGATTTTCCTGTGGGTCAGCGCCCCCTACCTCCTCCCAAATAAAAGTCCCCCAGCCTAAGGGATGGAGTGCACACATGTGCATGTGCTCATCTCTCGTCTATGTTTCTTTTCTCTTTGGCTGTCCCTGATGACAGGGGCCCAACCCTGCCACAGGTATAAATCTGAGCAGCTCCATGACTTTCCATAGAACAATGGTGATTTCTACCAGCGGAAGAGCTGGCCCTCACTTTTTGAAGGCTCACTGCCGGGTCTGGGCTTTCTTTGCTCTCAGTCCCTTTGGGAGGCTGCATTGGTCAGCAGTGTCTCTACTTAAAAAAACAAAGCAGGGCAGATCCAGGCTTTTCATTTAAATCTTAAACTCTCTGTGGAACTGGTGAAGCAGAGGCTATGGTACAGTCAGCCAGCTAAGCTGGGTTTATTTCGGCTTTGTGTTGCTAGAGTGGTGCAGAGCATCCAGAGCATGTACGACAAATTTTGCCCTGTTAGCCTACTTAGAGACCCAGATAGTAATTGCCAACCTCTGCCATGCCTCTCCGAGAAGGACAGGTAGCACACAACATCCACCTCCCGCATTTCCTCTGTTCCTGCCCATTTCTCAAGGCATTGGATCCAATTCTGAACTCATTTACACTAGTATAAATTCAGAGTGACTCCAGATTTCCCCAGTGCAAATGAGATGAGGAGTCATCCCACGCAATTTAAACAAGGGAAGTTCCTATCCATGGGTGATGGCTTCAGGGCCAGGAAAATGAATTCTCCACTCTGGGTGTCAGGTTAATGTAGGGTCTCTCAGGAGATGTCTAGACTGCAGGCTTCTTTCGGAAGAAGCTTTTCTAAAAAAAGAGCTCTTCCAAAAAAAGTTTTCCGAAAGAGAGTGTCTGCACAGCAAAAGCGCATCGAAAAAGCGATCTGCTTTTTCGAAAGATAGTGTCCACACTGAATGGACGCTCTCTTGCATTTCAGCTGTGATTACTATGGACGGAGTGGCCACCAGGGCACCTGTGCTTTTTCCTCTTTCCTCTTCTTTCAAAAGAACTCCATCTTTCTCGTCCACACATGTCTTTTTCCGAAAAAGCTCTTTCGGAAAAAGACTTCTTCCTTGTAGAAAGAGGTTTACCAAAGTTGGGAAAACCCCTCTGTGCTTTAGATTTTTTTTTTTCAAAAGAACACGATTGCAATGTGGACGTAAGTGAAGTTTTTTCAGAAAAATGGACGTTTTTCCAGAAAAAAACTCTGTAGTGTAGATACATCCTGGGAAAGGCTGAGGCAGCTGCAGGGGGTTAGACTGTGGGGGCCAGGAGCGGCCCGAGGCTGGCTGTGGCAGCTGGCGCCCCAGGCGGAAGGAGCAATTGGCGCTCCCGTCTGCACGGCCGTCAATGACCGTGACACAATCATCATGCACCCGGGCACCCTATGATGTCATCATCGGACGCCCCGGGCCAGCGGTGCCCTAGGCGACCGCCGAGTCTGCCTAGGCTCACGGGCCGCCCCTGGTGGAGGCAGAAACTTGAGAGAAATGGTAAGTTGGAGGCTGTGCTGCTACTTAGGAGGTCTCTCTTATTAACAAAGTAAAACCCTCGGTCAGGTCTCTGAGAACGGAGCATTTTTTAGCCTTGGTGTAAAAGCCCAGCGGGACCAGTCAGTAGGGTCACCCCAAAGGATGGTCTTGGATTGGAAACTGAACCCCAGTGCTCCTGAGCTTTGGGAAAGGCTGGACCTGAATCTGGCTACTTGAGTCCCTCTCTCATAAAGCAGTTGATATTTTCTGGTTAAATTATTTTTTCGGTGAAAAATGCAAACTTGGCGACATGGAAATGTGGAAATGTTTCCTGTGTTCGTGTTTGGGTTTGCCACATTGTGTTGGGCAGCGGGGAAAACTCCAAAAATGCTGAAAAAATTGAAATGTTTTGATTTTTTGGGAGAGACGGGGTTGGAACCACTTCTCATTTCAAAATTTCCTTCAATTTTATTTAAAAGTCAAAATCTAAACAAAACATTTCATTCAACCCAGAGCAACATTTTGTTCAACTTTTCCAACTGGCTAACAAAGTTTGAAAAGGTTCATTTGTGGGTGGACCTAAAAGATTATTTTTTTAGTTTATTTTTCAGAATTGCCAGTAAAAAAATCCATTGTTTTCCCAACTCTAATCTTTACTCACCAGAATGAGGGAAGAGGCATAGGGAAATCAAAGGGTAGCATTTTCTAAAGGATTAAAATGACTTAGGAGCTGACGTCTTGTTTTGAAAAGTGACTTGGGCATTTTTAGGACGCTATGTCTCGTTGCAAGTCAGTGAACGTTTCATCCCAGACTGAGGTGAGATAACTTGAAGAATGACTGGAGAAAGAAAAACAGACAAACATAGAGAAAGAGAAACCCACAGAGAAGGGAAAATAAAGATGAAGGCAAGTGGTGTAGACCAGGATGGAAACGAGAGGGAGAATACACTCTGCAGGAGGGGAATATGGGAGAATGAGAAACGTTTCCAGCCAAAAGAGAGCAAGGTGAAGGAAGGAAAATAAGTGCAGACGCTCAAAGACAATTAGCCAGCTGCTGTATGGGGACACTTCTCTTTCCTCTCCAGAATCAGAAATGCCCTTGGCTTGATAATCTGTCGATTTGGTCTGATGTGGCAAGAAGGAGAAGCATGTGGCTTGAGCCTGGATGACATTTCAGGAGTACAGGGGCTCCAGCAATCAAGGAGCATTGGCAGGGAAAAAAAAGTGACCATGTCAAGCTATTAGTGGCCACCGATACCTGTATTGTGATCCTGCCCCGATCCCACTGAAGTGCTGCTCTGCCCTCGGAGTCCGTGCTGGATTCAGGGGTGCAGATAAGACTTAAAGCCAACATCCCAAGTGTCCACATGAAAAGTCCAGGGGCCCATTCTATGACTGCAGAGAGAGAGGGGAACCACAGAGCTAAATTCCCACTCGCATTAGGCCGTTCTGCCTTCTTAAACTCCCTGGCAGAGTCAATAGGATGTCACAGAATCCTCCACCCCGGTGCCTAAGCGCTGGCCTCATGGGGTCGTTTTGCTCTGCTCCGCCGGGCCTGGCCTTAGGAGTGAGCAGTGCCAGGCAGCCTGGGCACAGGTTTGTGCAGCCTGGGGCTGCTTGTGCCAGTCACAAAGCTGCTTCCTCTTCCCGTAGGCTCCCAGGGGCAGTTTGGGGCCTCCAAGGCCTGTGGCATGTTTAACTGCAGCCTGTGAGCTCCGGATACTAGTCAGGTGGGCTGAGCTGTCCCCGTCCGGTCGTGCTGAGGCAGGTGCCTGCTGCCATCTAGAGGAACCAAGTTGGACCCACCAAGCCAAACCAGCTGCTGTGGTTTGGAAAGTTGGGTCTTTCCCTGCACCGGGGCTTTCTCCAGGCTGGATTCTGTTCTCAAGCCAGTTTTGCACTGGAGTGACTTTGTTGAGTTCAGTCACCAGCGCCAATCAGAGCAGAATTGGGCCCAGATTAAAGAACAGGAACGTGGGGCTTTTTCAAGCATTTATGTGCAACAGGCCAGACCCTTTACTACCATCGGCATTGCCCCCGCTGATTCTATGACCCCAGCTGAGGTCTGGCCCCATCTTTGCAGAGGAAATGTGACACCTTATCTGGCTGCTCATGCCAGGCACCTTGCCACTGTCTCCCTGGCATTTTTCCTCCTTTCCCCCAATTCTTAGGATCCCATTAAAGAAAATGCCCTCAATCCGTCAGACCTTGCAAGAGATGGGTGTGAAAGTGTCGGACGTCTTCCCTGTCCTGAAGCAGGATAAATACGCCGGCGCCGCAGGCCCTCGGAATGGAACGGCCCCCACTATCCTCACCAACTATCTGGACGTGAGTTCTCCCAATCTCCTTAGGGAGTGGGGCGGCTTTCTCTGTCCCTAGTGTGGACGCAGCTACCTCGGTGAAAGGAACTCTGTACTGAGCCTGCTATTTCCACTCGGGAAGCCCATCCCTTCTGGCTAAGCTATCTCACATCTTTTAGAGTGACATCCGGGCTTGAGTCAAAGGCTTCAGATGATGGCAAATCCGCCACGTCCCTAGGGAAATTGTTCCAGACGTTTGTTATCCTTTACGCAGGCTCGCCAAGGGAAACAGACAGGAGTGTGAGGTACAGTGTGCTCATTGGGGCTGGAACCATCTTGTGTCACCCTGAGTCCACTGCCAGGGAGGCAGCGTGGTCTAGTGTTTAGAGCTGGAGCCAAGGAGTCGGAACTCATGGCTTCGGGTGGTGGCCCTGCGACTAACTTGGTGGGTGATGTTGTTCATCTCTGCAGGTATAACCACCCCGTGAGCAAGCCTGTGAGCCCGGGGTCACAGATTGGGGCTTACAGAGCTCCTGCGACCAGACTGAAAATGGCTGGGGAGACAACACTTCTAAAATGCAGGCTCTGAAGCCCAGCCTCATCCAGAGGCTTCGGGGTTGCACTGCAACATTGCCACAGCACAGCTCAGCATAGGGGTGCACCCTCTGCGAGCCCAAGTCGGTGGGCCTGTGCTCAGAGGTGTAAACACACCCCATGTGTCTCCATTTACACGCCTGTAATATCTCTCTAGCCTGGGAATTTATCTGGTCCCTGTTGCTGTTGTATCTCAATGCACCACAACAGCTTATCCCTCTGCCACCCTTCAAAGACGGGGGTCTAACTCCATTGTACTGCTGGGAAGCTACGGGAGGCCTAGTCAATGTTCCCTCTCATCTTTTCTATCCACGTGTGGATTTTTTCCCATCCATGTGCAGAATAATTTTATGTGCACTGAGGCATGTGTGAATGTGCACCACCAGGAGAAACACAAACCTAGTTGTGGGTACTCTGCTAATCAGCTGAGCAGTATTTGAATCTCTCCTCAGCAGCCACACAAGCGTTCAGCTTACAGGGAACATGGGTCCTAGCCCTGTTTCAGGCTTGGCATTGCAGGGCCTAAGCAATTTAGATGGCTAAGGCCCTTTTTCAGAAAGGGATTCAGGCAGTTTGAAGGTCAATGGGACGTAGGCTCCAAAGTATCTACATCAGGTCTGGAAATGGCTTAGGCTTTGCAATGCTGAGCAGAGCAACCCCTCATTCCTCTTTCAAAATTGGGGCTTAAGTGCCATGCCCAAGGTCTCCCAGTGTGTCTGTGGCAGAGCAGGACCAGTGATACCTATCGACCAGGGTGGCATAAGTAATTAAAGCTGGCTTATGGCTTTGAGACAAGGCTGTTGTTAGGGTGTATCAACGGGAACGCAAGTCATTCTAGCACAAGTCAGCTCTGCCACAGCTCTCATTCTGTTCTAACGCTCCACCTGTGTGCTCTCCAGACCCAGTACTTTGGCGAGATCAGCATTGGCACACCGCCACAGACCTTCAAAGTGGTCTTCGACACGGGCTCGGCCAACCTTTGGGTGCCTTCCTCCAGATGCTCTCCCCTCTACAGCGCCTGTGGTGAGCCAGATTCTGGGCTGGTGCAAAGTAGGGCTGACTGCATTTGACTCAATGGAGTGGGAGCAGAAGGAGACCACAGCAGAAGGGGAGGGTGGAAGAAGCCTGCGGGATAGCAAAGTGCACGTTCACACCCCAACGTGCATGACGATGACCGGGAAACGCTACTTCCAGATGGGACTGTATGGGCCACGAGGCAGGGAAGGGTTCTGGACTCAGCCACGTGGTGGGAGAACATCTGTGATTATAGCAGGAGAATATGGAAGAGGGGAGGAAAGGACTTGAATGCCGCCTGAGAACACATCTCAGGGAGTTAGGGATGTGGGAATCCTGCCACACAGGAACCTGTGGAGGGAGTCTGATCTTGTGATGAAGAGATTCAAAGATCTGGGCAACTATTCTTTGCCCTGACACTGACTCTCTGTGTGGCCTTGGGGAAGTCCCCTCATCTCTCTGAGCCTGAGCCAAAGCCCACTGACGTCCGTCGAAAGACTCCCATTGACTTGGATGGGCTTTGGATCAGGCTGTCTGCACAATGGGAATAATTCTCCCTGACATCAGCAAGGAAGGGCGAGGAGGAATTAATTCACTGTGGTGAGGTGCTCCCGTACTATAGCAATGGAAGCAGATAGTGCTGACCTGTCATGCTGATTGGCTTTAACTCTCCTTTCAAATGTATCTCCCCAGTGTCTCACAACCGCTATGACTCTTCCAAATCCCGCACGTACCTGGAGAACGGAACGGGGTTTGCGATCCAGTATGGATCAGGGAGCGTGAAAGGTTTTCTCAGCCAGGATGTTGTCATGGTAAGTGCTAGCTAAGCCATGCTATGTACAAACGGAAGCCTAGGTAATTGTCTGCTCCAAAGGCCATTGAAGTCAATGCAAAGGCACCCTCAGACTCCACTAGCTACTGGATCAGGCTATAAACCCCCCGGGATAGGCTAAATCTTCAGCTAGTGTGACTTAGTAGCACTGTTCCAGTGTAGCCCCGCCGATTAACTGAGCTGGGGGGTCTGACCCAATGACTCAGTGGATTTCTAAAGCCTCTCCCATTTTGAGTGCCAGCAGCTATGTCCACATGGACAGTGCTTGGCAGTCCAATGCAGAGTCAATAGACACCCCGGCTTGCCACAAGCTAAATGTCCATGCACACACGCCCTTACTGCTTCCTTTACATGAAAGCTGAGCTTCTCCCCCAATCACTGGACTCGAGTTTATGCTTAGAGTATTGTGAGTGTCCTGAAACAATCAAGAGAGCCAATAACAAAGAGTGCAGTAGAGTTGGCTTAAACACCAATTGTTTCGGACCTCCGCAGGCATTATTAGTTGCATGGGGGTAGGCAGTGTTTCTCAACTAGTGGTACGAGTACCCTTAGTGGTACTCGAGAGAAGTCGGCGGGGGGAGGGGGGGAACGTCAACTCAACTGAAATTTGGAGAAAACTAAATTTTTGTTTGAAGTTTTACAGCACTTTTTTATTTTTGACTTTTTACACCCACAATTTCATTGCCTGCCCAGCTATGATTAAGTTATTTAAAAACAAATGTGTTGCAATGGTAAACAAAAATGTGTGTGTCTGAAAACTGTAGGTACTGGGGTACTTATAATTTTTTTTTTTAAAGGGGGTACTTCTAATGGGGTTTTTTTTTTTAAAGGTTGAGAAACACTGGTGGTAGGGGCCTTATTGGACTTTCCCCCAACTAGAGGAGAATAGTGTTTGTGGCTTCCACTGCAGCAGTGTGGAGCCAGATTAAGAAGCCCCAGCTCCCCTCGGAGATCTGTGGGTGTTGTGGGGCTCAGCATGAAAACCGGGCACTTGGGATGGATGATTGGCATTCCTTTGCATGCCCTTGAGCCGCAGTGGCGTTGGGGCTCGAGTGAGGGTGGAATGGCTGAGGCGTTTCTTCCCCTTGGCTATTCCCAGCTTCTGCAATAGTGGCTGGTCCACACTGGCTGTGGACAGGTACGTCTAGGTTAGAGCTTGACTCTGCACTAGAGCCTGTAGCAGCCCTAGAAATGCCAGGGTCAGGGAGCATCGCTGCTTACAACCAGCATAGAGATGAATCGGGATCCTTTGTGCTCCCCCTCCTCTTGTGTGTTTAAATGAGCAATACCCAAGCCCTCAATATTTGTGCTCCAAAGTGAAAAGCTCAAAACCCCATGCACTTTGCATTGTCTCATCCGCTCCTCTCCCCAGGTGGCCGACATCCCCATTATCCAGGTCTTTGCTGAGGCCACGGCGCTGCCTGCTTTCCCCTTCATCTTTGCCAGGTTTGATGGGGTGCTGGGCATGGGGTACCCCAGCCAGGCCATCGATGGCATCACCCCGGTGTTTGACCGGATCCTCTCCCAGCAGGTCCTGAAGGAGGATGTGTTCTCAGTCTACTACAGCAGGTGCGTGTTGCTGGGAGCAAACGGCCAGGCAATCTGCAAGAATCTCTTAGTTTTGTACCATGTGGAGAGTCTGGGATTCACTGCTGCAAGAGCAATGAGTGGGAGAGTTTGTCTGGGCTCCAGGGGTGAAAGGAACTTACATTTCTGACAGCGTCTGTCCTGTCTCAACCCGGGTCCCTACCAGCTCTTTCAATAGCTGCCTGCTGGCTTGTGCTGCAGCTCAGCCAGCTCTTGCCGGAGCAGCACACTGTCACCTCTGCTGAGTTCAGAATTAGGCCCTGGTGTAGCACGGCCTTCACTGCCTGTTCAGGAGAGACCTGAGGTGGGCAGGGTTGGGAAGCAGGCTTGGAATTGAATAAGAGAGGAGCTGCGGGCCAGGGTAGAAAGGCAGAGGCAACACTGTGTGGGTGCCCGGGACTGGAATAGCAGGAGGGGCGATGGATCAAGATTGAGGGGCTCAGGCCTGCTTATGTTGGGGAACCCTTTACTGGAATAACCAGGTGTGTGGCAGCTCAGAGAGAAAGGTCGAGCAGGTCAAAAAATGTCATTCAAAACATCTTTTGGTAGAAAATGGCGTTTTTGTATGTGGGGGGGAGGGGATAAATGTTCTGTGAGAAATATCCAAATATCTTATGAAAAAAGGGACACCCCCAAGCCTGAGGCTGGTTTGGTTTTCAGGGGCTGAAAATGGGGCGGAGGAGAAGTCGGGTTTTCAATGAAAATCCAAAACTTTTTGAGGGAAAATGCAGATGGACACCCTCTTTCCAGCGAGCTTGCATGAAAGGCCTTCGGGAGCGTGGTTTGGGGGAGGTGTATCCCGGAGCCGTCTGCACTGTCTGGCTCACGGGAGCCATGAGACTAAATTCAAAGGACACAAACTAATGAGCACCCAATCCGGAAATAAGAACGTGACGCGAAACCTGCAGCTCTCGCGCGCTCGACTAAAGGTGCGACGGTCAGTGAGGATCAGAGCCTAACGACTCCTCCCCCAAAGTCCTGGGAGGCCAAATCCTCAGCTGATGTAAATCTGTGTAACTCTGTACCAGCTTACACCAGCTCAGGAGCTGGCCTGCTGGCATGCAGAGCTCCTGAAGGCAAAAACCCCCTCGGATCCTGGTTTGATTGGCTTTCTCTTTCTTTGCAGAGCGTCGAAGTAAGAACCCTCTCAAGGCAGCACCACACTAACAACCCCCCTTGCACCCGGTTCTGGGTGGTAAACTCTGCTAGCTCTGCCAGAAACGTGCCCCCCAAATGTCTCCCTTTAGCAGCCCAGGACTGGTTCGTATGAGCTATCTCATTGCATTTCCTGGGCAGGAAGCCCCGCCATTGACATAGGAGGTCAGTGATGCTCACTGGAACACGCCTCGGCTTCTAAAGCACAGCCTTGCCCAAGCAGCCCGGTGGCAGCTTTGCTGGGTGTGAACCTTGAGATTCCCCAAAAGCCTCTAATCAGAGCTTTCAGTGTGTAGAGCTATCTCCCAGACCCAATGCGCCCTCCAATCTTTTCCATCCATGTGTGGAATACATTTTTTGTGCGCACCAAGGCATGAGAACGTGCAACACCAGTAGAAACACGAAACCTAGCAGTGGGTGCTCTGCTAATCAGCTGGGCAGCGTCTGAATTTCTCCTGAGTGGCCACACAAGCGCATGGCTTATAGGGAACACTGTCCCAGGCTCTCATCTCCTGCTAACTAACTCCCTTCACTTGATTCATCTGGGCCATCGCTGCAAATGGGAACTCCGCAAGGCTTGGTCTCTGCGGGGTTTCCCCACCCCGGCCTTTCTGGAGAAGGGACAAGCTAGGAAGTAACTCTCTTGCGTTGTATGTCCTAGGAACTCTCTTTTGAAACCTGGAGGGGAAATTATCCTTGGAGGAAAGGATCCAGCCTACTACACCGGGGATTTCCACTACATGAACGTCAACAAGAAAGGCTACTGGCAGATCAGCATGAAGGGGTCAGTAGCAGGGAGAATGCCTGGCCCCTACAGAGCCGCCTGCCTCCAGGGGCCCTGAGCCAGGTGGGGGAGGGCAGCTCTGCACCCATGGAAGGGGCGGGACCGAGGGTGGATGGGGCGGGGCCAAGGGCCAAAAGAGTGGGACCAAGGGCACTTGGTCCTCAGCCCTACCTAGAGTGTAGAGCGTATGCGCACATACACACACTCACACACACACACACACACACCAGCCCTTAGCACTATCCCAAGCTCACATCACACTGGAGTGGTGCTCTGACGGCAAATTAAAGGACCGGGGACTCGGGCCACTACCGGCAGCTAGAATCCCGGGCTTCTTTGAATTGCCTGGCCCCAGGGTAATTTCCCCCTTTACCACTCCTCCCTCCACCCCTCCTCCTCTGCCATCCATCAGTGGGCCTGACTGGCGACCGGAGTGCGGCAGGGAGAGGTTGGGAGGCAGTCACAGCTCTGTCTTTCATGCCATAGGGTGTCCGTTGGGGCTGAAATGCTGTTCTGCAAAGAAGGCTGTTCGGTGGCCATCGACACAGGAGCCTCCTACATCACCGGCCCAGCAGGCTCCATCGCCGTGCTGATGAGAGCCATTCAGGCGACCGAGCTGGCGGAAGGAGGGGTGAGTAAACCCACCTTTCGCTCCTGCACCTCTGTTGGCTGGTTGGCGAGTTAGGGTACACAACACCAGAAACTTCTCCTTTCTGAAGCCTGGGGTCAAGGACTCCAAGGTCTGGCAAGGGGATGGGTAAGGAGAGAGATTTCTTTTGGGCAAATAGTGGGCACCCCAAGCCAGAGGGAGGTGCATCTGGCAGACCAGGATCCCTGCCCCCCCGGTATTTACTATCTTGCTAACTCACTCTTGGTCTCCTTCCAGCTTCTCCCATGGGGTGGCTCCTCGCTGGGAGGCTGGGTGAGATAGTCCTCAAAGTCCAGAGGAGAAGGAAGACGGTGTTGGGGGGACAGTGATGTGGGCTGTCCCGCACTATCCAGTCCTCATTGCTAGTGTGGGTCTGTATTATTCAATGAGATGCAACAGCTTCTAGCTGCCTACAGTAGGTTCCTTGCTGGGCCATTGTGCTCTGAGCTCCGTAGGACCTCATAGCCTTCTCCCTCCTTCCTTTGCTCCAGTATATCGTTGATTGTGACAAAGTCCACCTGCTGCCTGATATCTCCTTCCACCTCGGCGGGAAAGTCTACGTGCTCAGCGGCTCAGCCTACATCCTCAGGGTGAGATGTCTACCTTCTCTTATCAATGGAACTAGGCCGTGGCAGGGAAGGTTGCTGCTTCTCCATACAAGGGATTGCTGTTTGATGCCCATCAAAGAACGTGGGACATCATTAAGGGCAGACAAGGGTTTAGCAAGAGATCGCTTCATTTCTGGCCGTTCCCCAGTTGTGTTCTTTTTCTTTCTGGCTCTGAGCTGTTCTTTTGGGTGTTGTCTGCCAGGGGCTCCAGATTTATGTCCACAAGCAATGGATCTTTCATTGCAATAAGTAAATTTCCCCGTTAGGTATCATAGAATCATTCTTGTCGCTCTTCTCTGTACCCTTTCCAATTTCTCCACATCTTTCTTGAAATGTGGCGCCCAGAACTGGACACAGTACTCCAGCTGAGGCCTAACTAGTGCAGAGTAGAGCGGCAGAATGACTTCACGAGTTTTGCTTACAACACACCTGTTGATACAACCTAGAATCATATTTGCTTTTTTGGCAACAGCATCACACTGTTGACTCATATTCAACTTGTGGTCCACTATGACCCCTAGATCCCTTTCCACCATGCTCCTTCCTAGACAGTCGCTTCCCATCTTGTATGTATGGAACTGATTGCTCCTTCCTAAGTGGAGCACTTTGCATTTCTCCTCATTAAACTTCATCCTGTTTACCTCTGACCATTTCCCTAACTTGCTAAGGTCATTTTGAATTATGTCCCTATCCTCCAAAGAAGTTGCAACCCCACCCAGTTTGGTATCATCTGCAAACTTAATAAGCGTACTCTCTATCCCAATATCTACATCATTGATGAAGATATTGAACAGTACGGGTCCCAAAACAGACCCTTGAGGAACTCCACTTGTTATCCCTTTCCAGCAGGATTTAGAACCGTTAACAACAACTCTCTGACTACGGTTATCCAGCCAATTATGCACCCACCTTATCGTGGCCCTATCTAAGTTATATTTGCCTAGTTTATCAATAAGAATATCATGCGAGACCGTATCAAACCTCCCCTCTAATACTTTCACTTTTTGCACCTGACGAAGTGAGCAGCAACTCATGAAAACTTGTACCCTACCCTAAGAAAATTGTTAGTCTTTGAGGGGCCACTGGACTCCTGAAAGTTGTGGAGGTGTCTGGATAAACTAGGGCCTAGCTCCAAACCACACCCTTTCTCATCTTCACAGCGGAAACCTCAGGAATGCAGTGTGTATTCTCAGGGGCAGGAGAACCCGGTGTGAGGGGTGGGACTGGAGTAGGGAGCAGGAATCTGGAGCAGGAAAGCATAGACTGAAGTATGGATCATGTGCCTGGGAAAAGAGACTGTGGTGCTAAGTAGTAACCAGGGGAGGCAGTTAACTGAGGCATTTCATAGTCTGGGGAAACAAATTCCAATCCAGGGCAGGAATCTCTTCCCCTGGCTCCTCTCATCATAAGCTGGGTCTCTTTCTTTACGTAGCAATCCCAGTTTGGAGAGGACATCTGCACTGTGACATTCGCAGGTCTGGACATCCCTCCCCCAACCGGCCCCCTCTGGATCTTGGGAGCCAGCTTCATCGGGCACTACTACACTGAATTTGACCGGAGGAACAACCGGATTGGCTTTGCCACCTCCCTCTGACAGCAGGAGTGGGAGAGCTGGGTGGGGGGTGGGGAGAGAGAGGTTACCGATTTGGAGAAGAAACCCAAGAGTGCCAAGGAAAAGCATTTCAAACTGTGAAAGAGAATAGCTTAGTGAAGTAGGCCTTTTAAGGCACAAGCATATCCTGTCTATAAGCAAAGTCCACTTTGAAAATCAATGCTACACTTCAGTGACAGGTAGGACCCTATCAAATTTGTGGTCCATTTTGGCCAATTTCACAGCCATAGGATTTTAAAAATGGTAAATGTCATGGTTTCAGCTATTTAAATCTGAAATGTCATGGTGGCATAATTGTAGGGGTCCTGACCCAAAAAAAAGTCAGGGCAGAGGCCGGGGGGGGGGGGGAGATTATTGTGGGGGGGTTTGTGGTACTGCTACTCTGTGCTGCTGCTGGCAGTGGCTGCTGGCTTGGAGCCCAGCTCTGAAGGCAGAGCTACCACCAGCGGCAGTGCAGAAGAAAGGATGGGATGGGATGGGATGGTACGGCCACCTTTACATCTGCACTGCTGCCTGCAGAGCTGAGCCCTCAATGAGCCACTGCCATGCTCTGACTGCCCAGCTCTGAAGACAAGTATGGCAATACCCTACAGCCCCCAAGATAACCCTGCCCCTCCCCTCCTTCCCCCCACAACACCTTTTATTGTCAGGACCCCCCATTTGAGAAATGCTGGTCTCCCTCATTAAACCTTTAGAGCAGGGCTACTCAACAGCGGCCCTGCAGTGCACCAAAACAAAAGAGTCGTCAATATAATAGGTCTTCTGTTGCTATGCATTTTAGTAGTTAAATTCCTGGACTGTCATTGCTCATTAAAAGTGCTGCCCTATGGGTGGAAATTGGGGAAATATTGCATTTTATTAATATCAGCAGAACTGACTTCAATGGGGCCTGAGTGTTGTGTAGTCTTGCCTTAAGCTTTGTATTCATGCCAGTCAGTATGAAAGAAGCTATTCACACATATTTGCATGTACATGCAACCACACTTACGTTGCAGCCCTTGGCATGAGCTGTGAGTCGCACTATGGCCCCCAGGGCTTCCAAAGTTGAATAGCCCTGCTTTAGAGTGTAGGGTAAAAGCACACCAAAGACCAGATTTCACAATCCGTGTTGCATTTTTCATGTCTGTGAATTTAGTAGGGCCTGAGTGACAGGCCTCAAAATTAACTCTTTCCTCCACAACGCTTCCACTCCACCATCCTCATCACGAAGACATTGATCTCCTCAGCCCTAGGAACTGGGTCTCGTCCCATGCAACTGTTTATTTTTCCCGGCTATTTTGAGCCTCTTTTTGCCACATTTGGACGTATTGATACATTCCTACCTTGTGGGTCAGCTGAGAGACACAGGCCAGAATTTTCACATTATGTTGGAGGAATGTGGCTCTTACTTAGGTGTCTAAATGGGAGCTGAGAACTTACGAAGATCTGGCCCTAGTGGCAGGTAGGGAGTGCGTAGAAATCGGGCCCTGACCCCTCCTAAAAAATTAGAGCCTTAGTTGACACAGAAGATTTTTGAAAGGTGACCTGCAAATAAGAAAAAATCAATTTCTAATGTAAAACCAAGGTGGCGTTTTAAAGGGGGGCCTTTTTCTCTCCATGTTATCTTTTTCACATGACCATTTCAGATGTTCTCTCCCCTGCCAGAGCATATGGCTGACTTGAGAATGAGCAGGACTGTGACATCAGACTCCAGAAAAGTGAAACCTGATTGATTCATAGTTTAAGGCCAGAAGAGACCTTTGTGATCTGACTTTCTATAACACAGGCCCAAGAATTACCCAGCAATTCCTCCATCAAGCCATAGCTGAGGGCGGAGCTAGAGAATATGCGTTTAGCAAGAGACATCCAAGCGTAACTGGGAGGCTATGTGATTTGTTTTTGGTTTTTTTTCATTCCAGACTCTTTAGAATGTGCTTTTGTTGCTGCTGCAGCTCTTGCTCCTTTTGTTCCTGCCTAGTGCAGATGTTTGCGAAAAAAGCTCTGTTTGTTAATAGAGGCGGTAGGGGCGGCAAACCCTTGAGGCAGATAGATGCTCAGATGGTTGAGGGGACCACATCTGGGTAGAGACACTTTCTGCAGAACGCTCTGCTCTGGGCTGCACGTTCCCTTTCCATTTGCCATTATGTAACTGCCCTGTGGCAATTGCTGAGATGGACGTGTGATAACCGGAAAGGCTTCAATAGATCTTTAGCTGGCTGCTGATGCAATTTAGCCAGGGAAATGAGGTGGAGGAGCCGGCACCATAAATCAGCCCGATTGCCAATAAACCACCAGCAGGTCTGCTGTGGACCATCTACTCTGACGAAGCACTCGTCCAAGAACCCTCCTGACAAAACCAGGTGGGACCAGACTCCTCATTCCTGGAACGTTCCCTTGAAAATATCAAGCCGACAGGGTGGCAAGTTATATGGGCCCATGGTGCCCATGCTCTAGGAATATTCAGCACAGGGGGGCCCAGCTCCACCAGTGTCTCTCCCCTGGTCCCATTTGTCACTCCACGCACCTCCCCTGGAGCATCTCCCGGCCATGCCTCTACCCCTGCCACCCCGGGTGATTTAAAAGGGTCACTTTCAGGAACTGGCACCATCCGAGGTAAGCGCCGCCCCCTTGAAATCCCCAGAATCCTACCCCCCACCCCAGACCAGAGCTTACACCTTGCACCCAAATTCCCTCTCAGAGCCTGCACCTTTCCCACACACAATCTCTCTCCCAGAGTCTTGGACCCACTCTGGGCCCCATCAAAAATTATCCAAACCTGCCAACGGTGCAAGCAGAGGGGGCGGGGAAACACTTTTAAAAGAAAAATCTTCCAGTCTTCCATTTTCCAACTTTAAAAAAAAAATGGGGGGAAGGGCAAAGCTCATTTGTTCCCCTTTCATGGGTCACCTTTAGTATGTTGATTAAAAGGAAGTGCTCTGTGAAATACCCGCTGTTACGTTGCCCCCTCTCTGGCGGGCGCGTGGGTCTCTGGAAGCGGTTGCCAAATTCCAAAAAGTTAGAACCTCAAAAAACCCAAGAGTGCTGGAAATCAGGTGGATAGTTGGAGGCTTCTGTTCATTGGACAGCAGGTTACAGGGAAGTGTCCTGGATCCTCCCAACCTTTTCAGACGTGAAAGTGTGCTTCTGTTCTGAAAAGTGGCCATGTGAAAACCAGTTCCTTCCTACCCAGCCAGCTTCTGGGGTTTACTGGCCCTCACCCTACACCTTGTACCTCAACACACTTCTGATCTGGCAGCATTTGGCACTGGTGTAAATGATCACCAGAGGTGCAAGGCAGTGGTGAATTCCCTCCCTTCCTCTTGCACGTTAGAACTTGTTTTGCAGCTCTTATTAGAATACTCCCGCTGGCTTCCACATCATCAACAGAACAATGTCCCCATTCCACCACCGGAGCAACTCCATTGATGATATTGGGGACACAGAAGGCTAGCTTGGGGCATAATTTTATTATGCACTAGCCAGATTTCATAATTCATAAGCCAAAAGGAACCCAGCTTGCCTTTCAAATCGCAGGGTTGAGGGCATGCAGCTAAGGGGGCAATGTCAACTCACAGTGTGTCTAGACTACATCCCTCTGTCGGCAGAGGGATGTAAATGAAGCACTTTGAAAGTGCAAATGAAGCCGGGATTTAAATATCCTGCATTTCATTTGCATAATCATGTAATGGCACTCTTTCGAAAAAGCGCTATTTCGAAATTGAAACCGCAGTCTAGATGCAGTTCTTTTGAAAATGGGGCGCTTTTTCGAAAGATCCTGTAAACCTCAAAAAGGGTGTGTCTAGACTACAGGGGTTTTTTTTTCGAAAAAACTACCCCTGAGTCTAGACTGCTACAGCGTTCTTTCAAAAGTAAATCAAAAGAACGCGGCAGGTTTTTTGACTGCGGAAAACCTCATTTTACGAGGAAGAACGCCTTTTTTTGAAAGTGCTCTTTCGAAAAAAGGCGCTATGTAATGCAAACTGTGCTTTTTCGAAAGAGAGCATCCAGACAGCCTGGGTGCTCTCTTTCGAAAAAGCGGCTTTCTTTTTCAAAAGTACTGTTTGTAGTCTAGACACTCTTTTTCAAAAGAGGCTTCTAGTCTAGACATAGCAAAAATGAGGTTTACAGGATCTTTCGAAAAAGCTCCCCATTTTCGAAAGAACCAAGTCTAGACTGCGGTTTCAATTTCGAAATAGCCCTTTTTCGAAAGAGCGCCATTACGTGATTATGCAAATGAAGTTCAGGATATTTAAATCCCGGCTTCATTTGCACTTTCAAAGTGCTTCATTTACATCCCTCTGCCGACAGCACAACAAACCAGCACAACAAGCATGGACCTGGCATCTGTAGATATTTTTCTCAGAACAGAAGCACCCTTTAAGTTGAAATGCAGAAGTCTGGGAGTGCCACCCATCTGCCAGTCGTTGCTTGATAGCAACGGATGAATATTTGTCAAAACTTTTCCACTTGGTTTGGGGTGGGTTAGTTTCTGTTTTTTTGTTTTGTTTTGAGTAGCACAAAAATAATTCACATGTTGTTTTAACGGCGTTTATTGCTTGTGTTAATCCTGCCTGATCCATGACCTTTTGTATTAAACAAAGGCTCAAAGCAACAAGGACTCTGAACTGTTTGTTGTTGCAGATGCAAGAGAAATCAAACATATATAAGAGCATAACAAGTGTTTCTTTATCAGGGCTTACCATAACAGACGCAAAGCGTATGCCAACACTACAGCTGGGAGGCACCCGCTAACCACTGAAGTTAAAGCCCCTCCTCCCAACTCTGTTGGATTTCAGGTGGCTAGCTTATAATGCCACTTTTGAGGCTATAGCTACTCTGCTATTTTGATGTGTTATCTTGAGCGAAGCGAGCATGCATTATCCACCTGGGCCGTGAGGCACCCTCCTACCTGCAGTAGCTATAGACTCTTGGCATATGCCCGATGTCAGTGAATCTAAACAAACTATAGCTAGTTTGTATTTAACTAATGTATTTGAGCCACATACATTATGTATGTGGCCCAAATCAAAACTTGTAAAAAAGTCTCAGGGGGTAGCTGCGTTATTCTGTAACTTTAAAAACAACGAGTAGTCCTGTGGCAACTTAGGGTGTGTCTAAACTACATGGCTCCATCGATGGAGCCATGTAGATTAGGCTGATCGGCAAAGGGAAATGAAGCCGCGATTTAAATAATTGCAGCTTCATTTAAATTTAAATGGCTCCGCGCTGAACCGACCCTGGAGCACTTCAGGCAAGGCATGACCCTGGAGCACTTCAAAATGGCCCACAGTTATTTCCCCATCTTCCTTTCACAG